TAGGTGAGGTAATAACATTATCTGTGCGACCTCTATGATCAGATGTCAAGTGCACGACTTTCTCCTTCAGGTAATCTGTTGCTGTCATGCGTTCTCTCCGAGTACATCTGTATTATGTTTCGTGCAGTTTTTTTTAGTAATGAATTCAGTAAATTAATAGGAAACGAAATGATTTTAAAACAAATCTTATAAAACAATAAAAAGTATGCATTGCTTTTTAAATGAAAAATAATGAAAACTAATTTTTACTGATACGAATAACTGATTGATTTTTCAAGTTAAATGTCTGCTGTCGATTTTTAATATAAATTGGTAATTACAAAAAAAATCACTATTGCTTAACATTTAATTATCCTGGCATATTTCTATTTGAGATTTTCACTATTGTGTATTTAATATATTTTGATTAAATTATCTTAATGTAAAAATCGATTCATTTTAATTAAGAAATAATATCTACAGCAATATTAATGTTCTAAAAAGTATTCCCTAAAATGGTTTCGCCGCACTTTAAAAGCAATCCCTTTCGATTGGAAAAACAAAAAACTGTTAGAATAGTTAACATTGTCTATTTTTTATCATTAAATTTTTATCGTGTCACGTGTTCATGACTTTAAAAATGACTAATTGTTTTAATTAATGGTATTATTAATTTTATCCACAATCATCTCAATAATTATTATTATAAAGCATAAATAATACAACAAAACTTCATAAGTAGTAATTAGTATTTATAGAATGGTTTTTAATTATTTTTATATTTTTACATTAAATAAAGAATTTACCAAAATGGTTTTCTATTTGAAATTCAATTCTATTCACTCCGTTTGAAAATTGTTTTTGGAGTAGAAAAGTATTTAAAATACTTTTGGTTTAAATGTATTTAAACTCAATTCCAAATACTGTCTTTGTAAACAGTTAAAAATATTTTTTAAGACATTTCTCTTCGTTACTAGTGTCTCTATTATGTACTTTAATTAACATAAAAAACTATGCTCAGGTTATATATTTTAGAAAGAGGATTAACTCAGATTTTTTTACGAAATATAAATTGTGTATAATATTGTTGGCATATATGTTATTACGTTTTTTCATTAGGTATTTAGAATATTTTATAAACCAACAACCTTTCATTTTATGATAACATACTGAGATGAAGGTTTTAAATAGAGAAGGGTAAATACTTTGAAGTTTAAATGTGTATTTATGTTCTGCGCGTTGGCGAATTATTAGCATTTTGCACATTTTTAGTGATTTCCTATATATTATATGCAAAAAGGTTTTCCTGGTAAACAATACCATTAAAAGAAAAGTCATTTTCACATCGTTCCTATTGCTTTTATAAAAATTGATTGTTCCCTACCTAGACACACCCCACCGATTCGTTTAGTTATATCATAATCATAAATCATGGTGCTGTATTGATATCAAAATGTACTAAACTTTTCACGGTGTTTTAATAATTAAGATAAAATCTTAATTCACTAACAGAGCAAAAGTAATTTGGTGATATTTATCAACTATAATATTAATTTTCATTCTTAATTACAATTCTCTCCCAGAAAATGTTTAATTAAAAACTCTACAATAACAAAATCAACACCAATGATTGGGGGTTAAATTTTTTTGATATTCATGGGAATAATATATTTATATTATTATATATTGTTCTAATGTATATATCAGTATATTATCAAGTAAATATAACTCTCAAAGGTATTTATTTTAGATTTATGACTTAATTATTACTGTAACTGGCTAAATTATTCTTAACACTAATAAAAAGAAAGTAAAAATAAAATAAGATTCAATATTTTACATAAGCTTTAAAAAAATATTAATATTCATTAAAATATATATGCTAACACTAAATTTCCGGTGATATTTAATTCTAGTAATTATGCTTAAATCTAAGTGAAACTTTTTAAGCATATTATATTTTTTTATAATCGATGTTATATTCTTTATAATTTTGAAAGAACAGTAATTTTTAACAAATTATCTGACCCAAAATCTTATAATTATTGAAATAAATAACTATTATTTATGTTTCTGTTATATGAAAAAATAAAACATTTTGCATAATTTTATAAAAATAGTTTGAACTTTGAAAAAATAACATTTAATTATGGATATTTAATTTTACATTTTAGAACCCATTTAAAATAAAGTGCTATGCGTTTGAATATAATTAAATTTATATCAAATTCTCTTAAAACTTTAATTTAGAAATGACTTTATAAGATAAATTTATTTTATTTATTAGTGTTATACAGATAACTTTTAAAAATTCCATTTATGAATCTGTAACCTTTTTCTCGTCGTAAGTATTTAAATAATTCATAATCAAACTTAATGTATTGAGTTAAAAAAAACTATAAGAATAGTATTATTTCTGTTAATTATGAAATTAATGAGTTTATTTCTTTATGCACTTATATCTTAAAAATGTTACAATGAATAGTTTTTAGTTATATTTAATTTTTACTTACTATGTAAAATATACTATAATACTATGTAAACTTACTATGTATATGGTACACTGTGTTTAAATTTTTAAAGGGAAGGCTAACATTGTTAATCAATGACCTTGTTATAGAATCCTATTAAATGTGTCTCATATTCTAATAATTAGATTTATATAGTCAGAAATATAACTCAACTTATAATTTTAATGTCAATTATAATTTCACGATATTACTTATAATCTTTCTTTCTACAAATTTTTTTCCCAAGTTAAACCATTTAAAACAAAGGGAATCTATTTCAAAGTAGTTAAATTAGGTTAATATATGTACAGCAGATTAAGTAATAATACCTATTACAAGTTGTTATATCTTTTTTAAAATTTACTTTGATTTCATTTATATGACATGTAGAACATAAAAAATATTAATATAATAATTTATATGATTGTATTACAATATGTAATCATTTTATTTGTACTATTTCTAACGCAATACAATTTTTTAGTAATTATTTTTTATTAGTTATCTTTTTAAGCTCGGCCGGGAAGCATCATGTCTTGGTGCGCAGTACAGGAATCGTTTACTTGTGTTGGGTTATGTTAGTTTTCCTGTTGTATCTAACACAAGCAAAGTTTCTCAAAGAAGATTTCAAAGATAAATTAATAGTAATAATAGTATGTAAATTATTTTAGCTAAGTCAGTAATTAATTTTTAAGTTAATTAAATCACCTGCACCTATTTTTTATTTTTTTTTAAATTGTAAAACGATTGATGCACAACTTGATTTTTGTTTTTTTGTTAATTAAATTTATTTATGTAAAAAAATAACTTTTTTTTTTTTTATTCATAATACTACATTTTTTGAAGTTTTAACACTCGTATAACAACTTCAATATTATAATTGAAAAATATTTTTTCAATTTATATAAATCACCAAAATCCATTAATCTACAATATGATTTCATAAAAAGAAAATTAAGAAACAAATTTGATATAATTTTTTTTTTTTTTTTAGTAATATGCGATACTGTTATTTTTCGTGTTACTCTTAGTACTACTTAATTATTTTTCTTTGATAATTTCATAACTGGAATATCAAATAAATTTACTAACTTGGTTAATAATTTCTGAACTACTTTTTAGTTTAAACATGTCATATTTGATACCTTTTAAACAAAATACAATAAATTGAACAATATTTTCATTACGGTTTACATACTTTCTTTAATTTTTCATTTAGTTGATTTGCAGTTTATATTATACAGTTAGTTGTTCGATCGAGACAAGTGCAAATAAATATTTCGATATTTTAATATGTATTAATTCCTTAGAAAGGTAACCTGTCAACTGTTAAACTAAAAATTAGGGCATACTTAATTATTAAACATCCATAGTTACCTATTTTGTTTTTAGAAATATGACTGTAACTATATGCTAATCAATAATTACTTAAGTTTTAAACAAATGTATAAAGTATTAATTTATAACTGATGAACATAATGTATAACGACCGATGACGCTACTGGCGATTACTGGCCCAAAAATTATTAAATTTTAGATACGCCTATGATTATGACATCTGCTGTTTCAAACTATGAACTCAATTTCTATACTCCAATATAATAGTGTACAGGACAATATTTTAACTATTTTACAGGCAATACTTTCAAAAGTAAAGATAAAATATAATTTTTTCTTTTCGGGAGTTATTTATTACCCTGCCGCTTTGTTTAAAAAATAAACAGACCTGCGCCCCTTGTGTTTTAATTTTAAGTGTAAATAACTTCTGAAATGCTGATTTAAAAGTTGTTATTGACTAATCAATTTGTAAGTCAAATCAATTACTCATTTTTAAACATCTATGTTGCCGTTTAAAAAATTCAAATTAATACAATTTTAGAGTAGGGGAAGAGAAAGAACTATATTTTTTTATGTAAATTAAACTGCGAAGGATACTAATAATTTCTGGAAAAAACAAGTATATTATACTTTTGAAGATATCGCGTGAGACATAGTTAGGAAATTACTCTGTATAAATAAATCTTTGTTAAATATGTGGAACACTATGCATTTATCATAATTGATTTTATTTTCTAAAAAAACATTTGATGCCATGACTATTTTTTATTTAACTACTACGTTTAAAATAACATTTTACGTTGAAACTTTTATTTATGTTCAAGTCAAGTGGACATCGGATTGAAGAAAGTTGAAACAATATCGTTACCGAGTATATTAATATCATATAGATATTACAACACAACGCCTACTAGACAATAAAAAGAAACCTAAATAATATAATATAATATTGACATAACAAAACCACTAGACATGTAATAATAACTGTTTGGTTCAAACTTTTTTAGAATTTTATCGCGATTCCAAATTTTTATAGAAATTATTTTACTATCAAAAAGAAATCATTGGAGTACGAAAAAGAAATAAATGCATTGAAATATAGAATTAGATATTTAATTTTTGGGAATAAAAGATCAATATTATACAGAATTTTTAAGAACATAAACAATGAAAACGATACAGAATATTTAGGATAACTTCAATGATGAATTACATATTACCTATTACGTGACAGTCTAGACAAGGAACACTGATGACCGCAACCTTGCAGAGTTTTCCGGCTGTTCCGGTCGCAGTCTTTTATATGACCTAAATTGAAATGATATTACAGTGCAGTCATTAATTAAAACAATTGGCGTGGTTGTCATTACTTCGCGGGAGACTGGCGTACATGAGACTAGCCACCACCCAACTACAGCCGTAGTCTTTGTGCATTGGCAGTTCCATAACTAATGCTCTTTGAACCGGTCGCTTCAGAGTTAGTCTTATGGACTCTGTTCGTACACACGTGCGCCTTGTAGTGGAATATGAATGTGAGTGCGGTATATGTATGAAATCTGTGTAAAATCTAAGTGAACGCTTAAATATTTTTCTTCAAAATATCAAAAGGATTTTTCAATTTTTTTTTTTTTTTTTGAAAAAAACTATGTATATAATCAAGGCTTTTGTGTCATCGTTGTTGTTGGTGTTTTTGTCTTTAGCGCCTTCAACTCTATTAGCTAACTTACAGATGGTAAACGAGTGGACTACACTCAGGTACGATATACCATTCAACTATCCCAATGCAGAGGAGTTTAAGTCTGACGTCGCCATACCAACTGGATTTGAAATCGGTAAGCTGACACATTATAAAATCATTACAATTTTCAATAATTTAAATGAAATTAATTTTTATAAAAATTCATAAATTAAAATAATAAGAGAGATAAAAGTTTAGCGTTAAACCACAATAATTATTATTCAAAATTAATTAATACAAAGTGTAAGATTTATTATTTTCGTTATTATATTTTGAACGTTCGTTTAAGTCTCTATTTGAATTCACAAGACTAAAAATGAAGTAGATCAACTAAACGCTATTAATTGTACTAAATTAGGTACAAATTGTGTTTTTAGTGGAACACATGCAGTGACGTAAACGCTCTAGAACATTTTGTATTAATACTCCGCTGAAATTTCTTTTAAAAAATTTTTTCAGCTTCTCTGAAAAAAATATGTTTGGCTTAAAAAATTTTCGATATGCATTATCGCAAGGTCATAAATTATAAAAAATAGTACATACATTTTCACCAGAATCTTATAAAGTTCATCGGCTATGATCTAAAAGCTCAAGAGCACCACCTTTTCGTTGCATCTTAGGGCAGTGCCACAGGTAATCCCTTATGTAGTCTCGTCACTGAATATATGGCATCATAATACAAATAAAAATCAGAGGCAGAGATTATTTTCTTTAAAATTAACAATTACATTCAATTTTAAAATCTTTTATTTGTAGTAAATTTTAATAGAATATTCTTAATAATGACATGATTTTTCACTTAATGATAATTCAACTTTTATTTACGTTTTACCGAAAATATCTAGACAACCAAAATATTCGTAGTAAAATGTAATTTCTTGAAAAATATTTATTTTAACATATGAAAAAAAACATTTCTCGGGAATGTACGCCAACGAGCTCACAAATTAGTAAATCAGAGCCTTCTTACGACAAAGGCATTACCATTGCATAAACAGAAATAAAATTATTTAAACTATTTTTTTTTTAATCTCTTCTTTTTCCTCGCCTGAATCCCAGCTACTTAAGGTAGGCCAAAATACACCAGCTATTTGTTTTTAATAAATTTCAATTTTTAAACTTAAAGAAGTTTTATATTTCATACATTTTTTAAATAAATGTTTTTACTTTTTAAATTGCATAGTATAATTCAATGAAATATTGTGTATAATATTACCTTAATAAATATTGTCTTATTCCAATAACAACTCTATTATTTTAATTTAATGAATTAATTTTACAATCTAACTACTTAAAATCTAGCACCCAAATATATTTCTTATGTATTGTTATTGTATAATTTAAAATATTGATGTGACTACTGACTAGTGGTCTATTCGAATATTATGTTAAACTTAGTATGGTTATGTACTAGATGGCGCTATTGCTATATAATAAAAATCAAATTAAATCTATAAATAAACTAAATATTAAGTAAATAACTATGCAGATAATTTATCTTATTCGTCAGTTTATAATCATCGGGCTATCATCTATTTTGGACTAAAACTGATTTAAACCTTCGTATAAGATAATGGTAGGTTTTAATAGTAAAGTTAAAAATAATTTCTGTTACAATAACTTTTTGAGTGGGTGATGTAGACTATTTTATTAAAAGGTAGTGTAATGAAATTAGTTTTATAATACTAGAAATATAAATAATAATTTAAATTTATTTTTCATAAACAAAAATATCTAGAAAGTAAAATTATATTTATTAAAAGTTGAGATAAATTAATTTTTAGTTATTGCTAATAATATATACTTTTTAATATGAGTATTTTATAAACATTTATATTTTATAAAATATATTTAACATCTATTTTAATACAGTTTTATTATGAAATTAACGCTACTATTAATGTAATGCGTATATTATTCTAATAAGAAAAATATTGTATTTTTCGCTTCATATCTTTTTTGTCTAACTATGAAATTTTACTTTAAGATAAGAAATGAATAATAATATTATTTTTCTATATTATTATAATATATAAAACACATTTTATTTAGTGTTTATGTAAACATAATATATTTGATATAATATAACAATAAATATTTTCAAATTTTATTGTAAATTATTATTTAAAATAAAATTTTTAATTGATTTTAATTTTTATTAATGAAGGTTGGGATAGAGTATTCTTAACTACTCCTAGGCTTTTCAACGGCAACCCAGCTACTCTTGCATGGATACCTCGAAATAGGGTCGGGATAGCTTTTGATACCCATAAATCACCTTTGTTACAGGTATGTACTCCTTTAGCTGTATATTTGTATATATGTACATATTTTTTTAATTATCGATATTCTTGTATACAAAATGTTCAGTTAGTAGGGAAACGGATTTCTATTGTTCTTATTGCTTGTAACAATTTACTGTTTCCATACTAACTGAACATTCTGTATATCAACTTCAATTTATATTTTACTATAATTTTTAATTTTAAAAATTGACGATTTTAAAATCTTGACTAATTATTTTATGTTTACTTTTATTTAATTTTATAATAAATTAAAAATATAAACATACGTATTTACATTAATACGCAGGCGTATCCAAATTGGGACTGGCACAGTGAAGCGGCCAGTGATAGTTTATTGAATTCTCCCAGGCCTAACTGTTCTGGTTTAGTGTCTGTGTTCAGGGTAAGAGCGGACAGATGTAACAGGTTGTGGGTATTAGATAGCGGTGTGATGGATAGCTTGGAAACTTTCAGTACAGTGTGTCCTCCAAAACTAATGGTTTTCGATATGCGAACAGACCGTATGGTAATAAAATAAATCAAGGCTTCGATAAATACATTAAACTTCATTGTACTTATATATTTTTTTGCAATCTTAACGTTAAATTTATGATCCAATAGATCAGAAGTGTGATATTACCCCCTGAAATTTTGAGGAAAAATACTCTTTTGACCAATTTGGTGATTGATGATCAAACTGAAATATCACATCTTCAAGATGGTTTCCTTGGAGACTGTGACAATGTTTTTGTTTACATGTCGGATAGTACTAACCCTGCTATCTTAGTATATGATGCCAGAAGAGATACTGCTTGGAGATTATCGCATCCATACATGTTTCCTGATCCTGACTTTGGAATTTTCAACGTTAGTACATTGTGTTAAAGGTTGTTTTTTTATTTTCGTAATGTTTTTTTTCCATATAGGTAGCTGGTGAACCTTTTACTCTTATGGATGGAATAATTGGTTTAGCATTATCTCCTATTGGTTCAGCAGGTCGTCGTTTATATTTCCAACCATTTGCTTCAGACCGTCTATTCTCTATACCAACTTCAGCACTTAAGGCAGGTCCCAACTTGGGTGATGATGCTGACCTACCTGTTTCCTTAGTAGGCCATAAGTCATCACAAGCTGCACCTCTAACCGTTGATCCAAAGGATGGTGCTCTTATTTTTAGTCCAGTATCTGAGACAGCCATTGCCAGTTGGGTTCCTGGATCCGTAGAACATGGGTAAATAAAAATTTTACATTAAATAAGTAAAATATCTGTTATAGTATATTTTTATAATATTTTTAAATTTCATTTTGTAATATCTATACAATGTTTTACATTCTAAATAACTTGATAATTGCATTAGAAATTTTCTATATGTCAATAATAATTATTTTTTAAGATAGCACTGAAATTTGACTTCATTGTTAAATATTTATCTATTTATCTATTTATAATAATTAACCAAATTATTATTGTCGATAATAATCATAGAATGCTCTGAACTACAACATCCTGTCCGTATTGTATTATGTACTAATAGTAAATATTTTAAAATACAATATAGCCGAAGATTTACCGAATCATTAAATATTTATTAAAAGTAAACAAATATCTTTCTAAGTATTTAAGTTATTTTTTCTGCTTTGTTAAAGTATATTCAATTTAAAACAATGAACTGTTAAACGTTTTTATCATAAGAGTGTAGTAATAAAAAAGAAAATTATTATCTTAAATCTTAATTAGTCGTATTAAATTATCGTTTACAAACAATGTTATTATAGTAAAAGGTTTGATATATTAGATTCCTGTTTCTTTTTTAGTGTGTTGGCGTATAGTCCGGAAGAGCTTCAATATGTATTAGATATTAGATCAGCTGATCGAGATCAGAGTGCTATTTGGTTAATATCGACGAGGCTTCAAAAGTTTGTCAGGAAAACTTTAGATAAACGGGAAGTTAACATTAGGCTAATGAGAATAACACGAACGCCGGATATCCCATATGGATTCAATAACAATAATTCTCTGTTGTTGTTTAAATGATCTTTATCACGTGCCACTAAAAAAATTCTTCGCTTAATTTATTGCTGTTTCATTTAATTTCAAATAATGATAAATGGTACCTGATAAGTTTTAATTCAAACGATACCAATAGCAAATGCCATTATTATTTATTATTAAATAAGTTTAGTTTGTTCAAATGAGATGTTATATGATTTAGCTTTTTTTAATAAAATTGAGTCAAAAAAAATAAATATTATAAATATTTTAGAAGAATGTGATGTAGTAAAATACAATTTTAAGAATAATATCAATGTATTTAATTACATAATAAGTTTAAGCTAATATGTACTGTAAATAAAACTTTATGTATAATTGTTAATAACTATATTTTTAATTACATTTATTTGAAAAAAATAAAAAATTTTACAGTTGCATTTACCATTTTTTATCTTAAATGTTTAGTATATTTTATTTTTTATTAAATTTGTAAAAATTCAATTTAATTTTTCTCGTTTATGTTAATATAGAAAGTGCCATATTTTATTATATAAAAACAAAGCACAGGGGGGTCGCGGCACATTGGTGATGTGGCATAGTTGGGTCAAATATAATGATATCTGATAGTGATTAAAATCACTATCATAAAAAACGCTTCATTGCAAATCTGTTGATAGTGTTTAATTTTAAAAAATTGTTGAATTATTTCAAAAGCTACATGATGTTCTATTTCCTTATTTATATCCTGATTACAAGTTTTATGATTTATAAGTGTAATATATATAAATATATGTGGGAAATACAACAGGCAATCACAGAAACAGAGTGAAGACGCAAAACTATTATTTAATTTATATATATATATATACACACAAAAGCTCTGTTAAATATTAACAAACAAAAATAACATATATATTTAATCACAAACGAAAACTCTGTAAAAAAAATTCACACAACACAAAAATAATATATAAAACAGAACACATATATAAAATAAAAAATGTACATAGAGACACGTCTTAGTCGACTCACGACTTGATTTAATTTTCCCTTCTTATAATACTTGATACCATTATAATACCACTATCTACCTCCAGACCCTGGAAGTGGTGCCATCTAGACACCAATGGTACCCACATATATATATAAAGGGAAATGGTCGAATGATAGAGGTTTATAAATAGTATTTATCATAAAAAATTGTATTGATCCATACATTTTTCAAAAAGTTATTTAAATATAAAGATAAATATTTAAAATATAAAATATAAAATTTCACACAAATATAGCATTTGGTAGCAATTTTCACCGTGAAGACAAAATTAAGTCTAAAATTTTTTTTTTCCATAATGAAGAATATTATATTAGCTTTAATTTAAGATATATATAAAAGTGTTAGAGTTTCCGGAACACTTTCAAAAGTTAATTTTTTGTAAAAAAATTCATTCTGAATCCCCCTTGTGGGCAGGTAATGGGTCAAATGAATAAAGAAATATATCAAATGATAGTTAAATACCTCATGTATCTATAAAAAAATATTATATCGATTTTGTCATTTTTAGAAAAGTTATGCCAATTTTAAGTAAAAAAAATTATCGAAAATTAGCGATTTTTAAATTTGTAATTTTTTTGGAGATTTCTCCCATTTACGGTGGAAATTTCAATATTTGAGGGTATTATCTTTGACTAGATAAGATTTGTGATCTTTTGACGTATCGTTCAAAGAAATCGGTTCGTTGAGACAGAAAAAAAGTGGTAACAGAAAACAAACACATAGTAAAACTATTACCATCTCAGCTTTGCATCGAAGCTAAAATATAAAGGATATAGTTCTTATACTCATATATCTTATAATATATATGTTTTCATAATTAATTACCAGAAGACGAATTTTTTTTTTTTAAAGGTTTCTTGTTACGGCTAGATTTATTATACACAACATTTATCAGAATACCATACAACATCCAGTTAATGTTTTAACATTCTTTATACGCGATGTATCGTGTCAAGAGTGGTAGTTTAAAACGTTAAATTTTTCCTTATTTTAATTTGTTTACATTTAGAAATATTATTAGTATGAATACACGCCTTTACAAATACCTGTAGTAAATAAAACCAAATTTGTAAGTTAAGGTGATCATTGATAAAAAAAAACATCATACAGCAAGCCTACAAACAATATTAAAGGGGATTAGCATTGAAAATACTATTTTATAGCCATGTTGGTAAATGTAGTAAAACTTTAAAATATCATAATTTTGTTTAAGATCACAAGTGTGCAGAGCCTTTGTTTTAGAGCAGCAAAGTAAATGTAATGAAATTTTCTATTATATTCAAATTCCACAAAGAAATAAAATTAATATTCTTAATTATAGCTATTTGTTAAACATATAATCAGTTAATTTCAATAGAGTAATTTTAGATTATTATTAGTAATATGTATACTAGAAAATAATGCTTCAACAAATATAAACTTTTTTTTTCTTTTAATGAAATATACTATAGCACTATACGATTTCATATATAATCAACAACTATATTTAATATTTTATCTTGGTTATTTAAATTTCGTTACAGTTCTATTATTTTAAAAACATTATTATATATTTGGAATTTTATACAGAGCGATTGTTTCATTATGAATGTGTTAATTATCTGTATTATAAAAATAAAATGGATAATTATATATATACTTTTTTTTTAGTTACATACTTTTCTCAATTTATAAATCAAGAAGTATTTATTATATTCAACTTTTATATTTTATAAAGGTGTCAAATTTATTTTAGCAAATGGTAACATACATAATTATCTATCTTATTTTTTAAACAGTAATCTAATATTAAAGAATGATTAATCGATAGAAATTTTCGGACCAGTATTCCAGAAGTTACTAATAATTTAGAGTAATAATTGGTGGTGAGGTGATGAAGATGCTGCTATTTTTATTTTTAGAAATTTCTCGGCCTCATTTATTCTTTCACCTGGTAAAAGAATGTTGATAACTACTGGAATGTTGGTCCAAAAGTTGTTATCGATCAGTCATTTTCTTAATTAGATCATTATTTAATACATAAGCTAGTCAATTATGTATGTTGTCTCATAAAAAATAAAGTTGACATTTTTATAAGGTATTTTTATTTTTCAAATATGTAATTAATTAGTTCATGATAAAATAATCATTGTGTATTTCATATTATAACTGAAATTGTGAAATTTCAGTATAAATAGAAATCTCAGAATATTTCGGGGATCATTCAGAACTTAAAGGTCTAAAATTTGTAATTTTATACCGTGACTATTATTATAAATGTATATTGTAAAATTTTTAGACTTCAAATTTCAGAAGTGTTATTTAATATGATCAAAATTAGAATTTTTTTCACAAAGTGTCATTTTTAGTTTTTTAAATTATCATACAAGTATAGTCTTCTATATAAAAAACAATGTCTTGACACTTAGTAATTTTTCTTTTTCCATCTTTATCAAATAGTGATATCTTTTAGACATTTTAATGATGGCAGAAAGTATTGTTAAAGTTCAAAGTTATAGACAACAATTTTTTTTATAATTGTCTATTATTCGAGACAACTGTGAAGACTAGAACTCTGTAAGTTAATTTTATAAAAAGTTATGGTTTTTCGAATATTACCATGTTTTTTTTCCTACGTTGTATATAATTAATTTTTTTAACCGATAGACTAGATATTAATTTGTTCTAAAAATTTTTTTAGCCAGTCAACCGTTCATCTGTTACACTATTATAAAATAGTTTATTATTTTTGCTGTCACATAAACCAACTTTTATTGATTTAGATATGACAATAAGATAGCAGAATAGAATGTTAAGATAACAAAAGTTTTCTTAATAAATACCATAATAAATAATTTATGGTCTTTTGAAACATATTATTGCTGTCACTGGTATTATAAAATAAAATTAATCATAAATTTTTACTTGAATCCAAATCTTAAAAAGTAAACTGTCGGCCGGATAAAAAATTCATAAGAACAAAATTGTTTTTAATTTTGATTTCTTTTATATTATAGATCTAAAAACTGGGGCTTCTATTTAAGAAATTTAAATTTAAAGATTTTTATCCCTGGAGGGAAGAAAAAAATTATATTACATAATATTATTGTAGTGATTTTTAAACCTAATATTTTTTTTTTTAAATATTTTTAATTTTTTACTTTGATAAAATGAGTATGACACTTATTTTAAAAAGGTCAATTTAAATCTGGTAAGATATTTATTTCAAATACTCTGTATATGAAATGACCGATATATAAAATATTTTTTATCAGAAACATTAATGATTTAGTAAAAATAATAAAAATATCAATATTTTTATAAAAATACATTCTCATTTCCTATAAGTTGGTTTATTTAAATAAAAAAATTAGTTTGATAATTTAATAACACTCTAAAAATTAAATAAAGTAAAACCTATTCTAACTATTCTAGGAACTTTTTGTTTATTTATTAACTTTTATTTGTTATGCAATCATATGTTATTTTTAGTAATACTTACTTATTTTTAAATAAATAGTTTATACATTTTGATTTAAATGATAAAGAATTTAAAACTATTCCAATTTTAATTGCTGCAATATGATTAACAGTAATCCATTTTAAAGGTTTCTGTATTAAGCGAGTTACACAATTAAAAAATATTAGTATGTAGGCAAGTAGACATGGGTAGACCCCCTTAGATTTAATGTGACCCGGGGCTGGCCCCCCCAAATTTAAAATTCACTTATTTTTACGAATTATCAAAAACGTGCTAGGCCTTATATACATTGAAATTACTATTAATTTGTGATTGCTATGGGGTAATACAGTTATTATTGTGGCTGTATTTTCATTTTTATATTCATAAAAAACGTTATTTGAAAAAGATAACGTTCTAGACGTAATAATAAATGGAATAGCAGTTACTCCGAACGTGGTTGTAAGTAAATTTTTTTTAACTCTTGTCCAACAAATGATAACAAACTACCAAGTTTCTGCACTGATTAGAATCTAGTTGATAGTAAAATTCGATAGAGTAATACTCTATGAAAATTTTTTTGATAAATCTTATCTTTAATCTGTTTCTTGTTTTATAACTTAGTAGTTGCAATAGGTAATTTATTTGTTTTTGCTAATTTTTTATTTGCGTGATCTAAATAATAGTAAAAAAATATGACTGAAAAAGGCAGGAATTGTTTTCAATTTTAAATAAAATAAATTTTACATTGTTTATAAATTATACGTATTTATTTTAAAAATGATTTATAACTTATTTGTTATTAGTATTTAGGTATAAATTATTTTTTCTTAATAGTTTAAAAGTTGAAAAATTAAATCAGCTTAGGTTCACATCATTATTTTATTTATTTTTCATGAAAAATTCATCTCAATAGCGAAGATGTAAGTATTTTTTTTTTTTTAATATAGGTACTATCCATTTTTTATAATACTGTAATAATTAGTATACTATATACGAAAACAATTTGTTTTTAACCAACCAATAGTAAAATTTTGAACTTGTAAGATTCATAGTATGGGATACTGTCAAAGGAGGAGTGGAGGGAGCACCCCCACAAGCTTTTCATGGGAAACAAATTATGGAAAATGATACAAGGGCCCAAAATTGTTGGCCCCTCCAATAAATATTTTCTGGCTACGTGCCTGTTAGTATGACATATTAAATAAAACAATAAAAACCATTAAGAAACAGAATTAATGAAAAATGTTCAAATAACTTGATCAATTCCATAAAATTTATATAAAATGATATAATCAAAATATCAATAAAAGTTACAATCGTATTCTTCACGTAGTTTTAATTTTTTTATCAACTAATAAACATTCTTCAATTATCCACCAAAATTTCTGTGATTTACGGTCGATTCAAAACACGTTGACGATTGTTGACCTTGTCCTAGGCCAAAAAATCTATAGTTATGCTAAACGGTAGCCACTGGTCGCGCTAGTGTACCGCCCCAGTTTTAGGCAACAAGATGAACGGGACGGGACGCTTTAAGCATCCGAATGGTGTGATACGCGCTGTAGTCGCGGTCCCATCGCCGAGTGGTCCGCCGTCTTCCCCGGCCCGCACTGTCAGCTACATCTTTTTATCACAACATTTTATTTTTATTTTTCCATATTTTCTTGTGCGTATTGCAATCTTTTTGAGTGTGTTATTAAGTAAATTCCGCCAAACAATATCCCTTCACCTAAATATCGGAATAATAGACGATGCATGGGATTTCAGTTAAAGTTAATTCATACAGTTAGTGGTAGATATGAACTTCTCGTAAGTACTTATACATATCTATACTTACAATGTATTAAGCAATTATTTTTAAATTAATGCTTCGCTATTTTTTTATTTACTTCGTATTAAATTTGTTATACATAAAATTTTAACTATACACTGCTTTATCTGGGTTTTTAGTATTTTTTTATATATTATCATATGCATGGTAAATGTTATCAATATTTTAAGTATTTTTAATTTCCTTAAATTTATTTACCAAAAAACGATTTAAGATAGTAACTGTCTGGTGTAAACATTTTTTGCGTACAAAGTTTTGTACTGAAATTAACCCTGTGGTAGGACTTCGAAAAAATCAATAATTCGTGACCTTTCTTCAACAGGTTCGTATCTTTTTAGTTTTTATCTGGAATTTTTTTTCTTTTATATTTTAAAATAAAATAGTAAATATTTACTTAATGAACACTTACGATAGAGCCATTAAACGATCATTGAAGCTATATATTGAAAAATACGTTAATTATATTAGACTGGGCACATTTTAAATTTTGTTAATAAATATGAAAATTTTACTTTTTAGAAGCGATAAAAAAAATTTACTGTTATGTTTATTATACGCGTAAAATACTTTCTATCTATTATAGTTACTTAACTTTAAATCTAAAATTTTATTTTATTATGATGAATATTATTATGTAAAGTTATCTAATTAATGTAAAAAATTTCGTTTATTTGTGAGAAAAAAAAAATTATTTTTTGTCCTTATAATAATATATTTTTATTGGAGAATTTCTGAGCCATGTTTTATTTATTAAATATTTTTTTTTTTATTCAAAACAATGATTTCAATGAAACTTGTTTTAATAATAACTAAAAAAATGCATTAAAGCAAAAACACCATTAAAAAAAATATATATAGGAGTTTTATTTACATATTAGCTTCGATGCCAAACTAAGAAGGTATTAATTATTGATGTATTTTTTTTATTTTTTGTGTTAGACAAATATTTTATTTTAAAATATTTATTTTTACCATTTTTAATAAAAAAATATTTTTAATTAGTTAAAAATTTAATTTGTAAATTAGACAATGATATTTAATATTTTAGACATGTTGAAATCTTGAAATTAATTAATTTAATATAAAATCATTACATATTGATTTTTAAAATAATTATTTACCTTTTCGAAAATTTGATTTTTTGATTTCTTTTTAACTTAAGTTAAAATAGATCTAGTTTAATATTTTCTATGTATTTTTTACTATTACATAGTTAAACATAATACCTTCTAAACTGTGCTTTAAATGAAATTAATGTCACATGTAACGCACAAATAACTTATTTCTCTCACTTTATATGTTTATTTTCTTAAGTTGAAAGAATAATTGATTTTATCGTACATAATCATAAAAATTAACAACATTTCTATGGTAAATTAAAAATAAAACTATTTAAGTTTTATAACTAAAAAAGTTTCTTTTATTATATTAGTATACATTTTAACTTATTATTTAAAACTATTATGTTTAAAATAATAATTGTCTCAAAATTTTAATTAAAATTAAAAATTATTAATATTTTTTGTTTAAATATTTCTAAATGAATATTAAATAAATAAAAGACCAAAAATAAAACAACTTGGTTCAGTTAAATTATAATTGAAAATTTAAATATTAATACTTGCAATAAAATAATAAATAGGTTAGAAGATCTACAAATTAATATTGCTTACTGATTTATATTGTATAACTGAGGTCGTTGTAATGTTTATGGCGAACAAGTTTGAAGGTGGATTTGGTCTTGGTCCTCTGTAGAAGTGGTCTGTTGACAAACAGTAGTTTTGGATGGCAACAAGGACACAGGTTGAATTATAGTATAAGCTCCTGGACCACCCGTTGTGTTGCGAACGTAATCAGCAACGTTGTTGTTCAGTACAAATAGGAATCCATCATAACCAGTAGTCACTTGAACGGGTGCCCGACAATCCTGACCTTTGTTGATTAATTGTTAAGTTCACCGGATTAAATGGTTTATTGACATTCCATGACCATATTTCACTCTCTGCTGGACGACGAAAGTACAAATTCTCATTGCAGTCTGAGCTCAGCACAGTAATGCGATATGGCTTTATACCCATATCCGTGATAACAGTCGGAGATGTTGCAGATTGACATTAGTCAATATTATCCAATTGTACGGCAAACATTCGACATCCAGACAAGTATGTAACATACAAACCAGGACGCCGCATACCCTGCGTGGTCTTATTCAATATTATCATAAATAGAACATCGCGTTCGATGTAGGTCATTCCATTTTTCTGGGAGCATAATAAACGACTAATAATGATAATAAGAGCATAATAATTTCTCTGTATATATCGAACATGATAATTGCATTTCAGGAAGCGTCCGTTATAAAAACATAAGTGTTTTTGGGAGAATGATGAGTGACTATGAACTGCAAACAAAAAGAGACGATTACGTGATCCTCTTCATACCCAAAGAGTTGGATTTTTTAAGTTTGGTATACCTGCAGAAATTTAATGCATCCGATTGGGCAAATGTTAAGTTGTAGTTTTATTATTTAATGCAAATGTCTTTACAGCTTTACTCACATTAATATCATCATCTACTTCTATGCGAACAATTTTTGGTGGAGCTATACGCACACTGTTCTTTGATAATGAATTCACTAAACCTACATCGAGCGTCCATAATACTACATGATTATCTAGAAAAAAATCCACAACATTTATAAGAGGTTGAGGATCAATGTAGACATCGTACATCCTATGAGCACACGGTTGTGATGGTAATGGATAGACTTCTGGCTGAACGTTTAAACGACACGCAGAAGATGCTTCAAATGTACCTAACGTAAAGGGATTGAATTTCCATGAAGAAATCGTGATGATGCCAACAGGATTCGACCACTACGTGTCATTTGAAACCGACTGTGAATCACTGATCGTAACGGTCCGGCCATTTCATGCAAATGCCCAACAAATAATGGTCGTATTTTCTATTTGCTCGTTCAAACTGTACAAACATCAGAAAAATTAACAATAAAAAAATTAAATTAAAATGTATACATATGCATCTGTAAACAAAAACTGTTTTTTCATCTAAAATTAAATGGGTTAATTTAAAAAACACCTTTTTGAAAATATCAAAACACTTAAACAATTTGTCGTGATATATAGTTGAGTAAAATGAAATTAGTGAGAAGTTTCTTAGCAAAATGTTTTTTTAATTTATTATATTTTTTAATTTCTATTAACGGACGAATGAATACATAAAAAAAACATCAAATCAAAACGAATTAAATTAAATTTTCGAGAATACATTAAATTGTTCAAAAATGAAGAAAAATAATTATACCAGACAAATTACAATTATACACAAATCTATCCAATTATACTGAGTGATCGATTAAGGATAAAATATTTCAGTTCTATTGAAAATTTTTAATTTTCATATAGGAAAAAATAATTTGATTTAAAAACTTTAAAATAATATGTAGTTATATAATTTATTTTCATCCATTCATTTTTAAAATTTTAAAATTTTTAAGCTTTGTTTTTTTATGTGAACCCCTATTATTAATTTGATAAAAAATATGTTAAAACAAATTTGTTTTATCCAATCAACAAAATGCGTTTTCAAATTTTAAATATTTAGATTTAAAATATAAATTCATCATTAATTTGGTTTTTATAGTACTCTAATCGCAACAATAATCAGATTTAATGGGCCATAAATTATTATCGTTATTTATTATTGCAATCGTAAATTACAAATATAATAACATAAATTATGAATAAAAACTTGTCTATGTAAAATCATAAAGTAATGATTATTAGTGTGTACTAAACACTAAATTATCAATAGTAAATTGGTCTATTATCGCTAAACTTTAACAATCAATAATATAATAACTATTTATAAAACAAAAATTCTGTAAGAACAATATAGTTGAAACATTTTATTTTTCTAGAATATCATTTAACTGAAAATAAAATTCCATTAAAGAAAATTAAGATTTAGAATTTTTAACTGTGTAGGGATATAAACAATATTATTCAACTTAATATTAAAATAGTTTTTAAATCAAACAACTTCTTTCCTTACAAAAATTTTCAATAGTTTATAAAATAATTAGTGTCTTATCCTTAATCGTTAACTTAGTGTATATATTTAAATATCTTAAGAATTCGCATGAAAATATGGTATAAATAAAAAATAAATTTAAAGTTTAAATTATTATCAAATAGAAATTTATTTGGTATGTTTTAACATTTATTTTTGTAATTTTCAACACTATAAGACTTACATAAAGTATTATCCATTTAGTTTCTTTTATCTGACTGTCTCTCGTGAAACCCTAACTTAAATGACGTTTCAAGCTGAATTTAGTTTCAAATACATATAAGTATTTATTAACGGTTCTGTTTTCTTAGATTTTATGCTACTAAACCTAATTTTAAATGTTATGTTTAGACAACATGTTGGAAATATTTATCGATACACGTATTTCCATAATATTTCTTTCAATAGTTTTTTTTACTAAGATAAATAAAAAACAAAATCGAAATAACGTTTTATTCTTATCAGTAATTTATAGAAAAACATTCATATAAATATTATTCTGTTGTTATAGATTCAGTTTTTATGTTAAAGATGTCAGTCGAAATAATATGATTGCTTTTTCAGTCAAAGTAATATTTCAAAAAAATATATATATTTTATCTAATTACGTTAGAAATAAATTAATTATACTACAAAGAACGTTCTCTTATTATTATATCTTGAAATATAAATCTTACCGTAATTTTTATACAGTAATTGTTATTTTGAACATTTTAAAATTTCCTATTTCTATTTATGATTAAAAAGTAAAACAAACATCTGTTATGTAAAATTGATTTTCAGAGTTATATTATTGTAACCAAAGTTAAAATAACAAATTATTTTAATCTTAAAAATTTTTGAATGTGGAAAGATTGAAATTTTTTTATAAAATATCATTTACTTCAATATATTTTCATCATTTAATATATATTCTTGATTTAAATGACTTTCTTAAATAAAAAATTATTCATTTTGCCTTTATGTGTTCGTATAAAATAATAAAAACTAAATTGAGTAAAAAACGAAAACATCTTTTCTTATTTATTTTTGATGCATCTAACTTATTTTATAAAATATAATTACGCATGCTACGTGTTTAAGTTAACATATTATACAATTTTAACGAGATAGTTATTTTATCTAGCATATATATTTAAGAAAATACTGTTAATTATAATTATCATGAGTAATAATATACTTACGTTAAATATATGCTTATTACAACTACAAAAACAAATAAAAAATGCAAATTTTTTGATAGAGAGGTTTTATAAATAATAACGAATTGTATGTTCTACAATTAATTTTTAATTTTTTTAATGTTTTAACATTGTTCATTTCAATTAATTTGTGTTATATGATTTTAATTATATTATAATTTTTCAGATAATCAGAGAAGTAAGAAACTCAACTCCACTAAAGCAAGATATCCATGTCAAAAAATTCAACTACCAATGCTGTAGCCGAGGAGGGCAAAAGTTGTAATAAATTATTTTTATCAGCCGGTCATTGATGAAACTAACCTATGCATTTCCTCAGTTATCCATTTTGTTCTCCTTATTCTCTGGACGCCTAATAATATGCGACCCGGATAGAATAAAAAAATCGAATTTTATTTTAGATTCAAAAGGTTGGTTAAGACGTTGGTCGCAGACCATCGATTATTATCTGTAATAAATTATTCATCAGAAAAAAATTTAATTTTTCTATCAATGATGGAACGTAATAGACAGTATTAGATAAAAAACAGATCATTTTCTAATAATTCAATTGATGGAAAATATTACTACAGCGAACGACGAAAGGCATTCGTCATGGACGCAAGACATTGGAAACGAAAACGAAGAATACGACGATTATTTAGGAGACTTAATGGGAAGGCTATCAAAGAGTCGAGAAAAAGAATGTGCAGTCAAACGAGTTTCGTTGCAAATCGAAGCTATGCCATGTGGTATAGTCAACATTCATGAAGAAGAGGATGAAAATGATAACAATGAAAATGAGCAGAAACTGAAGATACCAGACGGCGGTTGGGGTTGGATGGTAGTGTTTGCATCGTTGATGATATGTCTCATATCAGATGGTATAAGTTTCTCATTTGGCCTGCTGTACATTGAGTTTCTAAAAGAATTCAAGGCAAGTAAATCGAAGACATCATGGATTGGCAGTCTGTTCATGGCTGTACCTCTTATACTAGGCCCTGTTGGTAGTGCTTTAGTCGATAAATTTGGCTGCCGAAAGATGACCATTGTTGGAGGTATTATATCTGGTGTCGGGTTCATCATTTCATCGTTTGCTAATTCTATCGAAATGGTGTTTTTCACGTTTGGTTTTCTATCTGGCTTAGGTCTATGTCTATGTTATGTCACTGCCGTGGTCAGTATAGCCTATTGGTTCGATAAAAAGCGTACATTGGCTACCGGGTTAGGAGCATGTGGTACCGGACTAGGGACCTTATTGTACACGCCCTTGACCCAGTATTCGATTGAAGAATATGGATGGCGTGGAACTGTGTTACTATTAGCAGGTACGTTTTTTAACTTTTGCGTTTGTGGTGCATTAATGCGAGACCCCGATTGGCTGGTTGCCGAACAAAAAAAGTCTATAAACGAGTCAAAACCATGGGCAACAACTGAAGAATCAATTGTAGATCATTTGGCAATTGACAGTGATAACTATGTACCGAAAATCATAGATTCTCAAAATACCGGGGTAGAGAAATATAGGAGACAAGTAAAAGAAGCACAAACAGCGGAGTATAAACTAACAGGAGTTTCCACAACAATTCGGAGGCCATCTGATTTAGAAAATATCGAATCAACGAATTCTAATAATTGCTTTAGATCAGTCATAAATTTACCCACATATGTCAAACACAATGAAAAGGTATTTAGATTTTAATTATATTAACTATATTTAGATTATAATAATTTGTTATTGGTTTATGGTCTAAAAGTAATATTTAATTTAATTGTATATTTTATGTTAATATTTCAGAATTTTAACGTAATTTTAACGTAATCAACAAAATTATTATTTTTAAAATAAGATCTAAAAATCATAAGATTTTTCAAATAATTTATTGTATACATTAACAAAGTAACCGAAATACCGGAAATAACGTGTTAGGAGTGTACTGCTTTGACTTTATTAATAATTTCAGATGGGGTCTTTTAACAACTGATTTGCATTGAATAAATTTCTTGCACTTTTATCATGAAGTAGTAAAATTTAGTAAAATTAACTATCTAATTTTTAAACATAACCTTTAAATATTATAAAAATAATGCAATAATAAAATAAGTCTTTTATAATGTCTCTAACATTTTAAAAGGATGATGTGTAATTAATCAAAATTATAAATTCACGTCTATAGAATTTTAAACATATATTTTTATTTTATTATAAAAACTTTATTATATAACAGCAAAATTTTAGTTCAATGACAAAATTAAAAACGAAATATGACCTTCACAATTTTAAATAAATTATATTTTTTTAAAAATTACAGTAGTTTAAAAATGAAATAATGATGAATTTAATGTTTATGTTTAACAAATGCATTTGATAACATATATAAATAAATAATTTTTTTATAATCTCGTGTTAACTTTTTAAAAACAAAAAAATTAAGAACATAAATTTTAAGATAGCAAAAATTATTTATTTTTGCTATCTTATTCTGTTCTATGAGAACTACTTTAAAAATTAATATTATTAATATATACAGAACAAAGCATCACAATACTCTTTAATTTTACCTTATACTTTAAGTAATTATTATTTTTTACTAAGTATAATGCTTATATAGAAGAATTTGAATGAAAGCTAATTTTCTTGTTTAAATTTAATTTAACTTAGCAGTGTAATAATAAAATGTTAAAATTAACACAGCATTTACTCTTTAAATATGTTTAACATTTTTTAAATGTATTCAGATATTTTTTACAATTTATTTTTAAAACTTCTAAATTTTTCCTTTAATGTTTACATAATTTTACTTATAATTAAATTTTTGTACTTGATGTTTTCCAATTTAAGAGCAACCTAATCAAACCCTTAAAGTTCAGAAAGTATTATTTAATCATCATTAATAAAACATATATTAAGATTTATTTTTAATATAATAGAATATTAATTCAGATTTTATAATATGTACTTATGACTTTATTTGTTTTAACTGTTATAAACATAAAACTTAAAACATCAATTAGAAAAAAAAATTTTGAATATATTTGTCATTAATATGTTTCTCATAGGTCCCATTTGAAGTACTCGAGTCGTTAAGTTCGAACAAGCGGTTGTTCAATGTTATCTTGGAAAATTATCCTAACCTATTACTGTGCCGAAGTAATAGCGTTTATCAACTTAACAGATCATCGCCAAAAGATGGTAACTATAATGAATCAACAAGCAAGAGTGATCAGCAATCAGGAACCCCACCATTGGTTATGACAATGAAACTAAAGCAATCCAAGAAGAATAGCTTAATGGGTTCAGGCGCTATGTTACCATTAGAATCGCAAATTACTTCTCCACCACAAACTTACACGACTTATAACAGTCCTGATCGACCATTTAAGCCGATGTTAAAACGTCAGTTTAGCAGCATACAATCAAGTTATTTGAAAAGCCTTCCATATCATAGGTAAACGTTACTTAAATTATCAATAAACTAATGATAAAATATGTTTTGAAAATGAAAATGGAAATTGCTTTTGAATAAAATTAATAAACAAAAAATAAAATTTAATCTATCTAATCATGTAGCTGAATATAGAAATCATTAATTCGGCAGTGTAAATTTTCAATGATACACCAGTAAAAGTCTCTCAGTAATTTGATTGATAGAAATAAAATTGATTAATTCTTATGTTGACGAATAGTTAATATTTATAAATCACCTGACCTGATTCTTGTACAACTATTATACTTGTTCAGCAATTTCCTGATAATTTTGTATTGTGTAAATAGTATAATCACACTCTTCGCCTGGTCTAACCTTGTAAGGATATACAATAATAAAAATATTATTATATGAATAACTGTCAAAGGTGATTCAAACAAATGGTCACAGAAATCTAAATGTTATATTATTATTCAAGAGATTAAAACGGAACTCCTCGTTCGTTTTGAATTCGTCTAGACCGTGTTATTATTAAAAAATTATATTAACTTAAGAATTATTTTCAAGTTCAACTTGAATTAAAATACCAATACTCTATTGATTTCAGGAGTTCAGTTATGTACAAAGGTGCACTATTGAATATTCAAAGAAACTTTAAGAAAGCTGCTTCGTGTCCCGACATTTATAATAATTCTACTTTGACCATCATGAGTGAACCAAATTCGGTAAGTTAATTAATTTAATCGCCAACTCATTGGTACTTGATCAAATAAAAGATAATTAAATAAAAAGGAAAATGCATCCAAGATTTGCTCTGTTTATTTTTTCATTACTGAGGTTCGGTGATGTATAAGATTGTGCCTAACAGTTATTTTGGGGTAAATTCATATAAGCAAATAAAGTACACAATTTTACACTTCTACTCCCGTTTTGCAGATCTTGCACAGAAATAGTATCGTCAAAGTAATTAGTCAGTTGTTGAATAAACGCGAAAATAATGTACAAAAGGTTAGGCGAAAACGATCTTATTTTCAGCCAAACTCTATGAAAAAGGTAAGAAGCTAATAAATGCACTGCGCTGGCTTCCTTCAAATTTCGGCATGTAAAAGAACATTTTAAAAATGACTAATAAATTATGGTGAAGGAGAAAGCTTTGAATTAAACTAAGCTTTTTTTTCAAAATAACTGTTTTACTTTATCAATTTTCTCATGCTAGTCTGAAATTGTTTAACGCACTATAAATTTGGCTACCAAGCCAGTTCAGGAATTCACAAAAAACTGGTAAAAAAGTCACATTTTACAATTTAAAATTATAATTTAATTAATTATACTGCACAGTTAATACTATTCACTTGATATTAAAATGTCAACTAATACGTACAATTATTAAGAGTCCCAAATATATCAAGGAAGGCATTGAATTTTAACATTTTAATAGCATAAATAAACTATTTATAAGTGAAAAAATCAGAACGCAATACTTCTAAATGATAATTGTTAATTTTTAGTAGGGTCATTAAAATTTTTTCATTTTCCTGTTAGTGTTTTAATTTTTTAATAAAAGATATAGTGTTTATGATAAGAAACAAAAAATTGAATTTAAATCGATTGTTTTTGTTAAATTTTGATTTATGATAGTTTCAATGAAAACCTATTCATCTTATTTATAATTTCCATCTATCTTTTTTATTTAAACTTAACCAAACATTACTATTAATGTTCTTTTATATTTATAAGCTAGTATCCGCTATTGTATAAAATAAAGAAAAATAAATCAAAAGGCGGCCTTGTTATTCTCACGGAAGGGTCACACGTTGGAAATATTAGCCTTGTCAAATGCATATGTTATATAAAGATAAATGAATTTCTAGGCTTCATCCACGCACATAGTAATGTTTATATGCAGTTGTGTATAGTTTTATCATAAGACGAAGTATTGCTGCGTTAATTACACCCTTAAATTTCTTTAAAAATGTTTAGTTTTTCATGTAGATTTAAAATGTAAAAAAATACCATGTTGCAAAAGAAGATAAAATAAATTTCGTAAATCAATAGAATCATTCCCCCAAAAGTAATATTTTTCAGATGTCAATAGTAATAAATATAGAGTCGAGTAATTTTTTTCTTAATGTCACTTTAGCAGCTTGCTGGGTATTAAAGTGGTTTTATTATGTTGACTAAAGCTTGTTTAATATATAGATCTTTTTACCAGTTTAAATATATTCCAATGTATCAAGACTTTTGACAAATCTTCGAATTTCCAAATCAAGTTGTTTTTCTTTGCCGTTTTTAATGTCTTTGTAACTTATAATTTTGATAACAAAAATTACAATTAAAAAAATTTATTTTACTATTGCGTGACTTTTGACATTGGAGTTGGTAAATGTTCTTTTTTCTCAATTCTGAAATATGAATCTTCTTTATTAATATCTCAGTTAAGCTAATAAAGTGAAATTCATAATGAAACATCATTCTACCTTATTTTTTATTTGTCAAAATCACTATTGAAAATTAATACTATTTGACTTAATTAAAGGATGTGGCTTTTGTGTGGTCATTAAATCGCAAACCGGTAAAGTGTTAATTGTCCAACACTGTTCTTTTATATTATGCACCAGTTTAAAAAATCATAATTCATCTATTTATCTAACCTGGCATTGTTACCCAGCTTATTCTTAATTGCATAATATTTAATGACTGCCTACCCTAAGTATTGTTCTTTGAGTATAGACTATTTTGCCACTTTATTAATTAAGTTTTTATGCAATTTAATAAAAACAAGTTATTAAAAGTGGTTAAGAGATATTGTTTTTTAATTTAATCGCATTTATTCTACTTTTATTACTTATTTATAAATATTTGGTGTCAAGTGAACACCAATTTTTTACGAATCTCACCGTTGAAAAAGTTACTTTAAAATTGATGCCTGCTATTTAAAATTATTAAATATGTATAAAAACAATTTTTCAAATACTAGAATTAAATTCATATCTCTGAACATAATTGTTATTATTTTTGGGGTACTATATCAATATAATAAAATAAACTATAAAAACATATTTTATGTTTATCTGTATTTTAAAAATTAATAATGAAAATGCAGTTCATTAAAAATTTTTATTTAGATAAAAATCACTATTAATTACAGTCCACTTTTTCTCGATAAAAAAATTTCATAGTACTATTAAAGCTACAACTTCCCAAATTATACATAACGTACCAAGCAAGTTATTGAATCGTATTGTACTTATTTTAATGTTATTTTAAACATTTCAAGAACTGTAAAAGAACCTACGCATTGTATATAAAATTAATCTTTACAAATATTTTATGAAATATGCCGAGAACTTGGATGTCACATTAGTGTCGAATCTTATTCTAATTCTAAGTTGGTATTCACACGATATGATCTTTACTGAATTTCAAATGTGGTTTTATGATTAAATATTAGGTACGTTTAAATCGATCCAAACTGGTAGCAATGGTCGAGGTACTTTTTTCTTTCATAACACTGTATGTTGAGTCGGGTCAAAAGCTATCAAGCGATCGATAGTCACCATACGCGCAAACGCTTTCTCTTTTTGTACGTTTATTGTTGGATGAATGCCGAGTAAGTTAAACAGCTCTTATAAAATAAGGAGATGCGAAGACAAATAAAAAAATTAATTAAGAAAAAGTTACATATACTCAAAACCAATTGATAATTTCAAATAAAACTCAAAAAAAAAAAAAAAATGCACATTCAAATCAATGTAATAGAATTTAATGTATGCATTTTTATGTCTTGAAAATATTTAATTCATATTCTTAAGTCAAGGAAAAAATTGTTGACTAATTACATCTTACACACTGCAAAAGCACAATTAACATATAATGTTGTATGCATACTTGTTATTATACTCAATTAAATAGAAAATATCAGAAATTGGGGCTTATTATGAACTCTATTCTATGGTGTTATACATATATTTATTTATTATTATGAATATTTTTTATATTTTTTAGTATAAAGAAAAAATGTGCCTTTGCTATTTATATATTTCCTGTTGTCAATAAATATGACTTTTATATTCTCCATTAAGCCACTGATCTAAAAATGGTAGAAGCTTTTATTTTACGTTACTCTAGTGAAAATTTTATATAAAAATTTATAATCCTATAAATACAATCGCATTTTTATTTCTATTTATATATTACTTCATTAATGTTACTTATTTTAAACAATACACTTAATTATAATAAAAAAAAATATATATATTTTACTTAAAAACTGTAATTAAGATGAAATAAGTTTTAACATAAAATCCAATAGAAATATAATAACTGACAACTATTATAACACATTGCTAAACTTACAGCTAAAAAATTGCACGATATATCATGATGTATTTAATTTCTAAATATGTACGGCTTTTGATGCACAACAATTATATGTAATTTAATTATTTCATATTTTAAGTATAAGTATTTTTAAGTAGGTATCAATATATAAAAATTTTCTTTTTTTCATTGTACTTTACCACAGTCAAAATATAAAAAAAAAATTAAAGTATTTTATATAAAATTTTAGAGTAGTTGATTCAATATCAAATCTTTTAACCAATAATTATTAATCGACCCTATTCATTAAATAAATATTGCTTTAATTATTTTATTATTTACTAATGAAAACATTAAAAAATTGATTAAATTGAAATTTTAATAAAAAAAAAACACATTATTATTTATTTTTGTTAAAAAACAATAATAAATATATTGTTGAATTAAATAGCATAAAAAATAACATTAAAATAATTGTATAACTACAGGAGCTTGATTATATCAACTATAAATTTTATTACACTTCTAATTTTTACTAAAATTTGATCAACAAACACTTGGTAGTGAATCGCTTTCCAAATTTATTTACAAAATGTTGCTCGAATATTAAAAAAAATTATAATTTTAAATTGAATTATTCAATATAAAAATATACATTTTCTTCAAATAATTAAATTGAAATAAATTATATAAATAATGTTAATGCTTTCACGATTTAAAGAATCCATACATTATGATTAAAATTAACTGCTATCCTTATTATTTTAAAGGAATGGTACGCAGAAGTAAAAGAACTATTCAGTGGTATACTGGATTTCAGTATGTTTTTGGAGCTTCATTTTTTACTGCTTTCTTTATCAACTATACTTCTTTTCACTTGGTTCATTGTGCCTTACTTTTATCTAACTGATTTTGTCATGGCACACGGTCTCACTGAAACTCAAGCAACAACAATAATTAGTACTATTGGCGCTACAAATACAGTTGGAATGGTAAGTACCATACTCATAACCTTAAAAATAAGATAACATTAAAATATCATAAACGTTTAGATTTTACTCGGTTGGGCTGGTGACTATCCTTGGATGAATGTAACTAAAGTGTATGCAATTTGTTTGATCGGCTGTGGTGTATGTTGTGCAATAATGCCACTATTTATTTCAAGTTTCTGGTCACTCATGGTAATTGGTGCTACGTTTGGATTATTCTTTGCTTCAAATTTTTCGTTCACTCCAGCAATCCTTGTGGAACTTATACCTTTAGATAGATTCACAACAGCTTACGGTTTGATGTTATTATGTCAAGGTATTGGCAACCTTTTAGGACCGCCATTAGCAGGTATGATTTATTTTTTCATTTCAGTGTGATAGTCCAGTTAATTTTTGCACAAAAGTGAATTATTGAAGACATTGAGTTTTAATTCTCAAAAAACCGCAATGTTTTTAAAGTTACGAACCAATAGAAGTTTAATAATTGTATTAACTTTAATCAAATAACTCTGAAATTGTTTAACGTTTAAATGCACAATTTTTTTCAGGATGGGTTTCTGATGTAACAAGAGTTTGGGATTATTCGTTTTACTTAGCTGGTATTTGGATCGTTATTTCTGGTATTTTAATTGGACTTATACCGTACACAAAAAATCGACTTTTATGGGGCGCTGGACGTCTGGAGAACGAAAGGGAAAGCATAAGATCATAAACTTTAAAAATATAGCGTACATATTATTCTATATCTTTGATTAACTACTAAAAATATAGTAGACCTTAGATTGGTCTGTTAGAGTGTATTTATTTTTTGTAACAAATTGTGATTTGATTCTATTATAGATTTTTTAAATAATCACGACTCATTATCCATGAGCTATATTAGAAAAATCTAATTCTATCATTTTAGAATGATGCTCTATTATGTTGAGTTGGTATCACCAAAACCGAATTTGATGTATTAGTCTTGAGAAATTTTGAATTTCCCAACATCTTTAAGAGTTTATTAATTATATAAATCATAATAAAATATTAAAATAATTACCTTTAATATTTATTATATTTCATGATTATTAGAATTTTTATCTCTTAAAATAATTATTAAATAACTTAAAAAATAATTTATCATTTCAATAATTATACTAAGTGCCAAATTATTTTATTCTATCTGTTTATTGATTTTTAATCAAATTTTTGCCAGGACTTAACAATTTTTTTGGTAACCCCGAAAAGTCAAATTGAGTACCTCAATACTTACAAATTTATGAAATTTTAAGTATTAGAAAACGAGTTAAATAAATAAATTCTTAAATTAGTTTTTTATTTAAAACCATATAGAAACTCTTTGTATTGTGATGTCTTGTTTAAAGCAATTTTTATTTAGGCGTTGATTATTTTTTATTCATGTTGTACTTTTTTAAACTTATATTATTAATTAATGTTCTCTTGTTAGTGATTACTTTATTATTAAGATACCAACCTTTTGTATTTAAGTATCAGAATAATATTTAATTACTATGTTATTTAATGAATAGTAATGAAATATTCTACTTTTTAAATTTACTCAATTTATTTTTTATTCTTAAATCCCAAATGTAAAGTGTTTAATAGTTTATTTTCAAACGCTTTAGTTTATGCGTTAATAAGATTTAGTCTACTGGACAATCATGTCTATAATATTAAATTGTTATCCGAAAAAGTTGTTAGTGTTTATAATATTATTATAAACTTTTTTTATCAATTGTACTAAATTTTGTTAAATTATTAAAAGGTACAATGACTGTAAAACTAATTGGCTGAAAAAGCAATATTTTATTATATTTTAGTGAGTATAATCAAATTGAAAAATTTCATTTTATTTTGTCAAATTTTATCTTTATAAATTATACTTATAATTTATTTGGCTCAAATTTATTTTAATTTTAATGATCTTACATAATTGTTAGATTTATTTACTTTTCGATTCTCTTGTTTGATAAGCATGAATTGATTTTTAAGTATTACGTCTGTAGCCATTTTAAGATTAAGATTAATTTTCAACCGTATGTTAGTGTACGCATTTGATTATATTGTCATCATTATTGTTGTTTAATTACTTGTAAAATATATAATTTACATTTGTTGTTAAACACTCCTCATAAACTTTTTTTTTTTTTTAGTAGTGATTACTATTGTTCGGTAGAAAACGCTTTTGGCAAAAACCTAGTGGACCAGTTGTCACAAACACTGTTGATCATATTATATCGTGTGACAGTTGATCTCTAGCGTCTTTGTTTTACTCACCCCCTCGCCCACCCAGCACGACAAATCGATGGCCTACGTGTCAATTGTCATCCGCGTACAGTTCATCGTCGTAAGTCAGTGAGTCAATTGTTTTTTGTCATCTTTTTTTGCAGCAAGCGCAATCGCTTGAATGATAAATTTGTTCGGCCATTATACGTCATAATTTTTATTATTTGTTTATTACACCCTTGTGCTCACGTCTCCAGTGATTGAGCCCTGACCATCACTAAACAACTTCATCGCAGTAGTCGCTCTTCCACCGTTTGTTTTCATCCATAAGAGTGTTTTCATTACCTACTCTCGTGTGTGTCTGGTGCAGCACTCACAGTCATTCGGTCTATCCTGTTATCAGCCGCAAATCATGACATTGCTTGGGCTGCTCAACGGAGCGATTTGACAACCAACGTTTACTCTCTACGGCACACCTAGACAAGATATTTTCTTTTCGCCCGATTATCAGAAATCTCTCTGTGCCCAACGTTTTCCAAGAGTACGTTACTGCGATTAAGGCACTTGGTTTCGATTATTTATCCGGATTTCTATTGTTTTACATTGGCTCTTTCGCATTGGATACGAATACGCGCCATTTATTTGAAAGCGTTATATATCAGAGAGAAATTTCGACATTTCAGGCTTTACTTAAATTCGTTAATAAGCGCTGTAAGATATTGGAAAATAGTAGTTGTTTTGAGAAAATAGACACACGCCATAATAAAAATTCGTGTTATCCGAATTATGTTTTTAATTTGTGTACCGTTGACTCTTAAATGTCTCCCTTGAAATTATGCGCTGCGTCGTCTTGCAACATAATAAATGTGTTTGTTGCACCACAAACACACACATACTCACTTAATCGTTGTCCGCCATTTAAACTGTTATCAGTTCAAAGACGCCGTGGTTTTGTCAAATCAAACAAATTATGTTTTTCAAACACGAGTATTTCTCATATGGTCAACATTTGTACCGCCACGTCAATTTGTAGACAATGCAACAAACTTCACCATACACTTGGATTACAAGTCAAATGTTTCATCGACTACATCAGACTCTGAACAATCTAACATCCAGTTGGCCGGTACCGTTCGTACGAATTGCACCGTAGTGCTTGGTAAGGCCGTTGCTCGTGTTTCAGATGAGCGTGGTAATTATCATTCGGACAGCGTACTATTAGACAGCGGTTCTCAAATTTCGGCCATTACCAATGAGTGCGCTGCGCGTATTGGAGTCGCGCGTCGTCCATGTCAAACAGAATTAGTCGCCCCAACTCACAATACAGTTGGTCGAGTAAAAGTTTGTACTTTTGCGCCTCGTCGTACAGCGATTTTCAGTTGAAAAGACTTATTTATTTTACCTCAAATAACGTGACAAATGCCGACCGTCTGTCTACCGTTCGCGTGCGGTACGGTCATTTGTCATTAGCCGACCCGAATTATTGACAATAAGTATTGACATGCTCATCGGTAATGCACATGTTTCCTTATTTGAATTGGTCAAATACAACAGCCATTCGTTCTAAACGATTGCCATCAGCAATTGATACTTATCTTGGCTGGGCAATAGCGGGCCAGAAAAGTCAGTCACTTAACAGTTCGCCACCGCAATCACTTTTAACAGGTATGTCACGTCCATTGTTTAATAACACGTCTTGAAATATTCATGCTCATCTTCCGCAAATAGTATCGACTATTTATTAAACCCAAGTTTAATACAAGTTTGTACAACGCTAATAAAAACATCAACAATCATTGGCCCTCTGATAATCTTACTCGATGTTCTTTATTACCAACAAGACCCACCAACGCACTAGCACTCCATCAGAATTACCGAACATCGACTATTTACAACGGCAAGTGTTCAGCCTACAACTCAACATCACCGCGTATTTTGGTTTCTCAAGCTACAATTCGAGCTAAGTTCATTGATTGTTCGAGTTATTTTGAAAGCCTTCGTCGTTCAATGCGGGGAGTATGTTTGGTAGAGAACGCCTTTAGCAAAGAACAAGTGGACCAGTTGTCACAAACACTGTTGATCATATTATATAGCGTCTTTGTTTTACTCACCCCCTCGCCCACCCAGCACGACAAATCGATGGCCTACGTGTCAATTGTCATCCGTGTACAGTTCATCGTCGTAAGTCAGTGAGTCAATTGTTTTATGTGTCATCTTTTTTTGCCGTAGTCGCTTTTCCACCATTTGTTTTCATCTAACACTACGTGCCTGGATCTACACTCTGACTCGTAATACTCATATGTACGACACCACTACTACAAGATCTCATACAGTCTACTCACCACTGTTAACAACTTTATTTTTCAGCTGAGTTTTATATTATTTTTTAATGTTATTTATTATTTGTTTAATTGAATTTAACTATTTTGTTTATGCCGCTTTATCGGCCATTAGTATTTAAGATACTCCCCGCTACCCCTTAAATTTAAGATACTTTTTGAAAAACTTCTGATTTGGTTATTTAATTATTGTTTACTCTCGTTACTTATTAGATGTGCAATTAGGTGTCATCCTCTCAGCTGACCCCTCTCCCGCTTCAATAATAGCGATTTAAACAGCCTTAAGTTAAGACGGCATTTTAGTGTGGTGCACAACTAGCCGTCCTACGGTCTAGCTGACCTGTATGAAATAGGTTTTTACAGTAAAAATAAACTTTTTTTAGTAAAGGAAGTTGTACTGGTGTTATTATTTTATATTTCATATCTATATATTATTTGTGTTGCAATATATCCTGCATAGTGTTGTTAAGAGCCAAGGTCGATTTAAAAATTTGTTTTCGTTTAATATTTAAATATATTATATCATTATGTTATTATTGAGTTTATCGTTATTCAACATTAAAACGTCATACAATTTAATATTTTATATAAAAACGTTATTCATATTTTGGATTAACGTTAAAAGTGTTACACATCTTTTACAGATTTCATTACTATGTGCAATTTTTTTTATAGACAAATAACTATATTTTTCTTACATGAATTTTTTTTTAATATAGCGTTTGAAAAGAATTTATATAAAGGGTAATTATTTTTTCGGAAAAGAAATGAAATAATAATAATAATTTCATTTTTCTCTTATTAAAGACAAGTATTGCTTTTATCATATACCAAAATTGTAAAAATTATTTTAAAAATAAGTATCGTAAAATATTCATCGAATCAAAAGTTCATTAATATGTTAATATCTGGTGGGACACTTTGTATATATATGTTCATTGCATAGAAATAATTATAACTTATTTAAAAAAAACATAAAATATTTAATCTTGAAACAGTATATAATATTTAAACTAAATTATAATTATATAAATGTGATTATTCATCTTAATTAAAAAGTGGATTAATAATTTATTTTCTTTAAATAGAGTTGTTATTTAATACTTTTAAAGTGAAATGCACTTCTATATATTTTTATCAATAGAATATCTTTTGTGGTTTGTCTTTAAATCTTGTCAGTGCAGCTCTAACTCTTGTTATACTAACAAGCGTGTTTGCTTCCTTGCCTTTTTTATTGAGTTGTTCCTGAGTTTCTTTGCAAACTAATTTTCTTTCGATTTCTTTAACAATTACTCCAATTTGTTCAAAGAAATTTAACAATATAGTAAAGCACTCATTAATCTTAAAAGTTTTTAAGTCTTCGCCGAAATATTTAGCTACACTTTGAATAGCATCCGTTGTTGCTTTATAATTATCATTTAACACATCATTATCCTTACCAATCTGGTAAATAAATTCTTTAAATTGTGTTGTAATGTGTGTAGAACAAACATCTGTTTTTATTTTAGCAAGACATCTTTTTATTTTATACGTATGAGTATTCAAGTCATTTTCTAATAACTCCATAGGAGTTTTTAATAATTTTCTCAATGAGGAACAATAATTCATAAATATAAAATTATTGTGATGCTTCAGAGCCAGTTCTTCTGCTAAATGGATAAAAGTGATTTGTGGCTTGTCAGAACGGTCATCTAATAATTTTGGCAAATTGTCTAGTGTAAAACCATTTGAAACAGCAGCGTGTTTCTTCCCTAAAAATTCCATATTAATATTAGCACATTTTTTTTTAATGTACTTTAACTCAATAAAAACCAATATTAATGAAAAAACTATTGATTTTAGGCTATTAATACATCTCTGAAGTGCGAGGCCTCCACCAAAATATTTCACTAAAAATTAAAATTTATATAAGTTCGTATCAATGCGGTACATTTTAATTTACAGAATGTTCGAGAAGTATAGCAAAAGAAGCATATAAAGAGAAGATGTTCAGTATATTTTTAATATACAGAATATTCTGTTACTATAAATCAGTATATATCTTGTAATTATCAAATTAGTACAAAATGGCATGTATTATTTGATAGTTGCAGAGTATTCAGTAAGTTTGTTATCATCCAATTCGAATACAAATGATTATGGGAGTTCAAACAAAAACAAAATTGGGCCTATCAATAATTATTGTACACTTGATCAAATTTATCAAAATTAAATGATCAAAAACATATTTTATAGATATGAATAAGGATTATATTTGGATACAAGAAAGATCAACACTAAAATTAAATCTGTTATGATATATTTAGCTAATATTATCTACAGAAATGTTACTACACTTACCCTGACATATAAATTTACAGGGATAAGCATTTTAAAAAAGCATTTAATAAATTTCACAGTACGTCATTATTGTATAATGATATATAGTTATTCAATTGTTAATGTATAAAAAATATCTCATGAAACCTAGTACAAAGACTTTTAAAGTGCTTTTCTAATTTTC